AAGGCTGCCCATGGTTTATGTTTGCAAAATATTGGGAGGTACAGATCCAGTTATCTTTAATTCTAAGGCTGCCCATGGTTTATGTTTGCAAAATATTGGGAGGTACAGATCCAGTTATCTTTAATTCTAAGGCTGCCCATGGTTTATGTTTGCAAAAGATTGGGAGGTACAGATCCAGTTATCTTTAATTCTAAGGCTGCCCATGGTTTATGTTTGCAAAATATTTGGAGGCACAGATCCAGTTATTTTTAATTCTAAGGCTGCCCATGGTTTATGTTTGCAAAATATTGGGAAGACACATATCCAGTTATCTTTAATTCTAAGGCTGCCCATGGTTTATGTTTGCAAAATATTTGGAGGCACAGATTCAGTTATTTTTAATTCTAAGGCTGCCCATGGTTTATGTTTGCAAAATATTGGGAGACACAATTAAGGTGGCTCAATTTCAAAATTCTAGTTTTTGATTATCCATTAGGGACAGTGGTAAGCCTAAGGACTTACAACTCTAGTTTTTGATTATCCATTAGGGACAACAGTAAGACTAAGGACTTACAACTCTAGTTTTTGATTATCCATTAGGGACAGCAGTAAGCCTAAGGACTTACAACTCTAGTTTTTGATTATCCATTAGGGACAGTGGTAAGCTTACGGACATACAACTCTCAAATCCGGCGTTTGATTCCCGCGGTGGACACAGCACATAGCCAATATGATGACAAGGAATCCACTTCAGCAAATAGTTTGGAGAAGACTTGAGTTGGAAGTGAAGGAAACTTTATTACAAATGTATAGTGTTTCGTCAAGTTTATGTCATCATCAGGTATCTAATGATTACATAAGCTTTTCGAAACGTTGTACATCTGTAATAAAGTTTCCTTCACTTCTAACTCAAGCTGTCTTCAAACTTTATAGACCAATGTAACTTTGTTCTATAACAAACAAGCAATCACTATCCACACTTCTCAGAGTTTCTATAGAGACTCCGATCATTTTACGTAAAGAATATATGTTTGCATTTGATTAACTCAAACTAGTTAACATCATTGATGTGTTTTACAAGCTCTAGACCGTACTGTACTGCATAAAATGAAGTTTTCGCTCAAACACGGTTTTATGATACTGATAATAACCTGATTAACGAAAGATGAAAATGTGTTTTTCTTTTACAACAAAACCAGGCTTATGCTCCATTACTCAGCTTGAACTAAAATTCACCTTTACAACGTCCTTTGTAGATTTCTTTTATTGTTCCTCCCTTTTTACACGTGGCTCTTCTTAATTCACACAGGCTGGTATAGGTGATGTTGTCAGAACCACATAAGAACCGAGGCCGTTTCTTAACTGGACACTGCTTTCTGCAACGAACACAGTGAGGTTGGAGGTACTGGTCAAGCAGACAAGTCCTCTTACCTGGACATCTGACTTTGTCACAGCTGCTGTCTGTGGGGAGAATTATTCTATTTGTAATTATGCGACTCTGAAATATTCACACACACACACCAGCTTCTATAAAACACAACAGCGTTTGTTCATAGTCTGATTATCATAATAGCCACAGTGCTGGGTATATAGACACATAAAATCACTATAAACAAAAGTAGTAGAATAGAGAAAGTCGATTACAAACTATATTAACTTAATATCATCTTCTTCTGAGTACACAGTTAATTAAGATATAGACATTTTTATTTTATACTAGACAGCCCGTGACCCGTCGGATCATACCCACTATTCAGAGGTTATGGAGAATTCAAAACAATTTCAATCTTGCACCGAAATAAAGGCTTAATTTGAGATAATTTAATTAAATAATTCAATCCATTCATTTTATTCATAATTCAAGAAAAGATATTTGATTGTTGATTGGGAATAAAAGTAAAGACCATTTAATTTTTCAAAAAGTAAGAAGTCAGAG